GGAAGGGTCGCCGGAGCCCAGCAGGTGGAGGCTGCGGTGGCCGGGAGCGGCCCCTGCCCTCCAGTCTGGGCGACCGAGTGAGACTCCAACTCAAAAAAAAAGAAAACAACAACAACAACAAGCACTTCTGTCCTTATAATGTACTACAAAAAGTACAAGATCTGATGAGTTCACACAGGTTTATACTGACTCATCTAAAATTCTCAGTGCTTCCATCTCTGGGATGGGTTAAGGGTACAATGCCTAGTTTGCTCCCAGGAGTTTTCTCTGGCAGTTTCAGAGTGTTAGGAACAGAACAGCAGGGCCAGGCATGGTGGCTCAAGCCTGAAATTCCAGCACTTTGGGAGGCCGAGGCGAGAGGATGGCCTGAGCCCATGGGTTCAAGACCAGCCTGGGCAACTTGGTGATACCTTGTCTCTACAGTAAATCAAAAAATAAGCCAGGCATGGTAATGTGTGCCTGTAGTTTCAGCAATTTGGAAGACTGAGGTGGAAGGATCACCTCAGCCCCGCAGGTTGAGGCTGCGGTGGCTGTGAGTGTGCCACTGCACTCTAGCCTCAGCGACAGAGAGACTCCAACTCAAAAAACAACAACAAAAAATAGAACAGCACTGGGAGCCTGTCAGAGGCAGAGAAGCTAGCAAATGCAAAAACCTGAGATAGAGGCCAGTGGCACATGCCTGTAATCTCAGCACTTTGGGAGGCCAAGATGGGAGAATTGCTTGAGTCCAGGAATTTGAGACCTGCCTGAGAAACAAAGTGAGAACTCATCTCTACAAAAAATAAAAATAAGCTAAGTGTGGTGGCACACACCTGTAGTTCCAGCTACTTGGAAGGCTGAGGCAGAAAGATCACCTGAGCCCAGTAAGTAGCGGCTTCAGTGAACCGTGATTGTGCCACTGCACTCCAGCCTGGGCAAGAGCGAGACTCTGATTTAAACAAACAAAAACCTGAGTTAGTAACTAATTTGGTTTCTAAAATAATCTGGCAGTGTGGGATGTGGTGGCTCACACCTGTACTCTAAACACTTTGGGAGGCAGAGGCAAGAGGACTGTCTGAAACCAGGGATTTAAGACCAGCTTGGGTAACTTGGTGAGACCTCATCTCTACAATATATTTTTAAAAATTAGCTAGGTGTGGTGGCACACGCCTGTAGTACCCCCCATTCAGGAGGCTGAGATGGAAGGATTACCTGAGTCTACCAGGTCAGGGCTGTGGTGGCTAAGAGCATGCCACTGCACTCCAGTCTGAGTGACAGAGTGAGACTGTGATTAAAAATAAAAACAAAAATAAAATAAAGTAATCTGGCAGCAGCACTTGTGAAAAATGCCTAGGAAGTTGTTAAAAGCCGGGCTCAGTGGCTCAGCCTGTAATTCCGCGCTTTGGAAGGCTGAGGTGAGTGGATTGCCTGAGCCCGCGGGTTCAAGACCCACCCAGGCAACTTGGTGAGACCTCATCTCTACAATAAACCAAAAAATTAGCCGGGCATCGTAGCGCACATCTGTAGTTCCAGTTACTGGAAGGCTGAGGCAGAAGGATTGCCGGAGCCCAGCAGGTCGAGGCTGCAGTGGCCGGGAACGGCCACTGCACTCCAGTCTGGGTGACAGAGTGCAACTCCAACTCAAAAAAAAAAAAAAAGAAAAAGAAGTTGTTAAGGATAAAGTTAGTCATTTTAAGTGATACCAGGAAGGCATTATGGCCGGGCACGGTGGCTCAGCCTGTAATCCCAGCACTTTGGGACACTGAGGCGAGAGGACTGCTGACCCCGGGGGTTCAAGACCAGTCTGGATAACTTGGTAAGACCTCATCTCTACAATAAATCACAAAAATTAGTCGGACATTGGCTGGGTGGGGTGGCTCACATCTATAATCCCAACGCTTTGGGAGACCAAGGTGAGAGGATTGCCTGAGCCCTCAGGTTCGAGACTAGTCTGGGCAACTTGGTGAGACCTCATCTCTACATAAATCAAAAAATTAGCCAGGCATGGCGGCACATGACTGTAGTTCCAGCTACTTGGAAGTCTGAGGTGGAAGGATCACCTGAGCCCAGCAGGTCAGGGCTGCGGTGGCTGTGAGTATGCCACTGCACTCCAGCCTGGATGACAGAGGGAGAGAGTGAGACTACAACTAAAAAAAAAAAAAGGCATTACATAATCTCAAATCTTACAGTGAGAAAGTACAATTCTCATTCTCATTCCGTCTTTCAACTTTATTATGGAGGAAAATCTGTTTTCTCCTGTATGTCTAACTCCTCCCTAACACCCAGCCTCCCTTCTGACAGAGAGCAGGTCTCAGGTGTCTTTGCATGTAGGTGCATCAATGGGAATTTAATAGCCATCTGGTTTTCACTTATTTTTACACTTACTTTCTATTTCTGTCAAGTATAAAATTTTTTAAAAATGTATTTAAATTAAAAAGATGAGTTAGTTTTTAAAATATTAAGTAACAAACAGTAGGAAAAGTACAGATTCCTGACAAGAATTATGGAGGTGACACGTAGACAACTGAACTCTAGGGAACCTATTCTAAGGACGGACTTTGGGCGCAATCATTTTCCACTTCATGCTTTGTGCTCTCTGGGTTTTCTCTAATTTGTTGTTGCTGTTCCCTAATGTAGATTATTTCTGGAAACCCCAACCTTATTTTAGCTGATAAGGGGAAAGGGACTTATTTTCATCTGGGTTAAGATAACACAGATGAGCCCTAGGTCAGTGGCTCAGGCACTAACGCATGACACTGATACACAGGAAGGGAGGAGATGAGGAGCGAAGTGGAAAACTCTGGACAGAAGATTCCAGAAGAGTGAGGGTGCTGCCCCGCCCTCCATGCTCTCAAATACGAGTCTACAGATTCATAAGAAAGATCATTCCACAACAGAGAAGGCAGAAAAAGAGAGAAAGCTGAAAAAAAAAATTGTTTTAATGTTTAACTTTTCTTTTTAAAAAAGTTTAAAAAGTTAAGTGGTTAATGAATTAAAGTTAAAAATCTATTATTTGAAATTTAACTGATTTAAGGGTGAAAGATCTCTGGACATCTTGACTCCAAGTCCAGTACTCTCTCCACCCTGACCCCTCATTTCTTGTAGATCCCAACTCTCAGATTTCCCCTTGGCAAATACGATCTGAAGCCATCCGTAGGTAACAGGCACTTCGAGCTTGGGCTCTGGCGAAGGCAGCAGGAACAGTGGTAAGACTTGGTGTCCCCCGCTGAGGCACAGCCCTGGGCTGAGCTGGCCTCTGTCAGGGCTCCTCCCAGGCGTGTGAGGTGAGCCCAGCTCCTCCTTCCGTCAGTCCTCTCGTCTCTCCTGGGGACTGTGGCCTGCCCTCGTGTGGCTCTCCTCCCGGTGGCCATTCGCACTCGTGGCTTCACTCCTCTTTGATTCTGGTCAGCTCCCATCTTCCTCCTCCACAGAGTCTCAGAACCAAGGAATGAAACTGCAAGAGACAACGGCCACATGGTCAGGCTGCCCTGGCCAAGCCCGGAGGTCATCTGGCTCTCCCTGCCCGCAGCCTTTGGGTTCTTGCTCCTCCTCAGGCCATCTGTGAGCACAGGTACCTTCTCAAGGCTGCGCCGATGTCCCACACTGATGAACGTCATCCCCAGCTGCTGGCCGACGCGGTAGAGCTCGCTCTCCACCTCCTCCGTCAGGGCACTGGTGGCTTCGTCGAGCACTGCAGGCAGGACAGGGAGGAAGACATCAAGCCTTACCCCACCTGCTGCTGCTTCTCCAACCCACTCGCCCCCAACGGGCCCCAGGGAGGCCCCCAGGAGCCAGCATCAGGGAGAAGACGGGCTGACGAGGGTCAGGCTCCATTCGGGAGTCCTCCAGTGAGCAGACTCACTCAGCCTCCCACAGATGGACACCAGCCACTCCCAGGATCACTCAATCCAGAGGATCTCAGTTCCCCAAGGATGTCAGTCTTTGAAAGGCCACACCTCCCATCTCTCTGCCAGGCACAACTGATGGTGGGGGCATTCATGTGATGGCAGAGTACAAGCAGCACAGTCACAACCCCTCAAGGCTGGCCCTGGCTCCAGCGGCTGCCAGGCAGCAGGTATGTGCGTCAGGGTGCAGATTCCCAGAGCTGCTCTGGGAACACACATACCACTCATCATGGGCAGGGCCTGCTGTCCTCTCCAGCAAGGGCACGGATGCCCAGCCATGCACAGGTGAGTCTGGGCATACTTGTGCACATGCTGCTACACTGTGGGCACATGCAGTGCCTGGCAGGTGCACCTGCAGGTTGGGACTCACCTGCATACTTCGGCTGCAGGTAGAAGAGCCGGGCAAAGGAGAGCCGCTGCATCTCCCCTGGGGACAGAACATCATACCTGGGAGCGGGGGGGTGGGGACAGGTCATCACTGGGGGAAGGACACAGCTTGGCGCTAGCCTAGAATGGTCAGGGCAGGAGAGGGTTCCCTCTGCAGAGGCGGCCCAGGACAGAAAGAAGTCCCCCACCTTTCAGCCACAGCCTCACAGCCCACACCAGCTGAGGCAAACTTTCCCAAGGGCATAAAACTCACACCCAGTGGACCAGCCAAACATCTGGACTCGGGTCAGGAACCACCCGACTTGACAGGACCCCGGAACCTACTGTTATCATGAGGCGCTGGACCTGGGGCTCCCAGGCCCTTTTCTTACCAGTTCCAGTCGACCTGCTGATCCAGACCCTCTGTCCTTGCCACCAAGCTGGACTGCAACAGACCCAGGGGGCACACTGTCCATGATGCTCCCTGCCATCCCAGGAACCTCCCTCCATCCCCACCACACATGCCTGAGACACATATGTACCCCGGGGGCACAACCAGGCAGGAGCTGAGGGACAATGTGTCCCAGGCAGAGCAGAATATTCTACTAACAACACTGCTTAGATTTGCTGGACACAGTGACAATAAAGAGCGGCCTGGCCCGGTCAGTTCTAGTGTTGCTGCAAATTCTCCAGAGGGCACACCCCCATGGCCAGCAGCTCCCAGTATCGAAGTATATCCCTACTCCCTGCCCCAGCTAGACCTCCAGGCCTGGGCCCAGGACAGCAGGGCCAGCTCCTGCCTGTGGCTGGTCTCCCAGGTCCTCAGGATCCTGCCCCACTTACCAGGCCTGCCAGTTCCAAGAACCCCATGATCCTCTCATCGTCAGTGGCACCTGCACAACAGAGAACCTTTTTCAAGTCCACTCCCCCTGGCTGCCCAGAATAAATGGGGCACATCCCCCCAGGGGTGGGGTCCCAGAACACTGGGCTAGGGCTCTGAAGTGAGAGGTCACAGCCCTTGATAATGGAAGGGCCAGGTGAAGGAAGCAATCACTGCCTTCCTCCAGTGGGTGTCTCTTTTCAAGGAAGGGAAGACAGACCCTCAAAAAAGTAAGCAGTCTAAAGAGGAGGGGGGACCCCACCTGAAACCTACAGCCTGGCCAGGGCCTCTCCCTCATGGCACAGGTGAGGCCATGGTCAGACAGAGCAGGGATGACTAAGAGGAGAGGAGAGGACGTGACCCGAATAGGCCAGCTCACCTGAGTCCGGGTAGATCTCCTTCAGGGGATATATCACCTAATAAAACAAACCACAGCCCTAGGAGGAGGGCTAGCACAGACAGCAGCCCACCCGCTCAGAGACCCATAAGACCCACCGGGGCCAGGCTCCCCTGCGCCCAAGAAGAGGGAACACCCGGCCCAGGGACTATGAGAGGGTCCAGCCCGCTGACAGCGGGAGGGTCCCTGCAACCTTCAGAAGTGTGTCTGGAGAGGAATCTGCCCCTCCTGAGGGCAGGTGCCTCCGAGTCTGACCGTGGTGCCCAACAAGTGCATGTGATATTTGGCCCGCAGCCCCCAGCTTCCCTGCCTCAAGAGTTCTCTGAGGACACGGCCTGATCATGGAGGCTGAAATCACGCTGAGCCACAGTGTTCCCAGGCATGCGCCACCTCATCACCCACCTTCGGCCCCTGAGACCCCACACTGCAGAAGGCCCCAGCTGTGATGGGTGGGAGTGGGCTGGGGGAAGGGATGCTGGACCAGGCTACCTGCTCCCGAAGGGTCCCGTCAGTGAAGAACGGCTTTTGTGGCAGGAACAGCACCCCGTGGGGCCCAAAGTCCGTCAGCATCTGCAAGGAGCCTGCAGCACCCACAGAAACCTGCATCTTGGGATCTCCCAGGGGAGGGAACCGCCTTGCTTCTCTGCCGCACCCCTTTCCCCAGCAAGAAAGGCGGAATTCTGCCACCCACGCTCTGGGGCCTGGGCTGGGTGGGGGCGGGGCGGGCCTGGCTCTCACCCTGGGTGCTTGCCCAGAGGCCGCCCAGGACCCGGAGCAGCGAGGTCTTGCCAGTGCCCGTGTTGCCAGTGATGAGCAGGCTCTGCCCATCACAGACCTTCAGGCTCAGATCCTTGATCAGGGGCTTGTCAGAGGAGGGGGCGGAGACAGAGACCCGCTCCAGGAGAAAGGCTGTGTCTGCTGGCGCTGCTGCTGGCCACCCCGGGGCCCTGGGTCAGAGAAGGGAGGGATGTGGGGAAGATGACAGTCTCAGGATCTGCAGGGGAGGACTTCTTGGAGGCATCACTCTGGATCGGAGAGCCGTTATGGACTGAGGTGCGTCCCCCTCAAAGGTATATGCTCAAGTCCCAACCCTGTTGTTTAAGCCCCACGGCCTATGGGATTTGTCAGGGCAACTTGAAAACATTAATGCAAGGGTAGGGGTGGGGACGTTTACTCTGTGCCCAGCTGGACAAAGCCCCATATAGGACAGACCTCAATCATTCTTAACTCCCCTGAACTGCATATGATTATCCTCACTCAATAGACAAGGAAACCTGAGTCGGGTGGCTAAGTAACTGCCCCAGTCACAGAGTTGAAGCTGTCTAGCTCTGATGGTGGTGGGCTTTCGGGCGTCACAGTATAACTGGACTAATCTTAAGAGTGGGCATGGCTAACCTAGAGAGTGTTGGAGCTTCTGGCCTCCACGGATGCCCATCTCCCCACAGAACAACTCTAGTTTCCTATAGTCCCTGCACCTCCACCCCCACTGTTGGGCCTACAGTTGCATGAAGCCTTAATTCTGAACAGAGGTGGCTGGGTACGGTGGTTCAAGTATGTAATCCCAACAATTTGGGAGGCAAAGGCAGGAAACTGCTTGAGCCCATGAGTTTGAGACCAGTCTGGATAACATAGAGAGACCTTGCCTCTACAAAAAAATTTTAAAAATTAGCCGAGTATGGTAGCGTGCACCTATAGTCCCAGCTATACATGTGGCTGAGGAGGAAAGGTCACTTGAGCCCATGAGGTTGAGGCTGAGGTGAGCCATGATCATGCCACTGCACTCTAGCCTGGGTGAGAGTGAAAGCCCAACTCAAAAAAAAACTTTTGCCAGGCGCGGTGGCTCATATCTATAATCCTAGCACTAGCCGGGCTCGGTGGCTCAGCCTGTAATCCCGCGCTTTGGGAGGCTGAGGTGAGTGGATTGCCTGAGCCCGCGGGTTCGAGGCCCGCCTGGGAAACTTGGTGAGACCTCATCTCTACAATAAATAAAAAAAAATTAGCCGGGCATGGTAGTGCGCGCCTGTAGTTCCGGCTACTGGAAGGTTGAGGCGCAAGGATCGCCGGAGCCCAGCAGGTCGAGGC